AAAAAAAAAAAAACCAACTAGGACCGAAATAAGGAGAATGTTGACACAATGTGAAGAGTGCAGCCAGTCACTGATCATTATGTCTAGAAGCTGTTGAATGGGAGTGGGTTTTGCTGTGTATATTTTCATCAATAATAAAGAAAATAATTTAAAAATGGATTCAGTTTAGTTCAATTAAGAAAGAAAATGTTTAACCCCAAATCTCAGCCTACATTTAAATGATTTTGTATTTTTTTTACATTGGGGGGGGAAGGGGGAGGAGAGGGGAAGGGGGAGGGAGAGGAAGAAGAAGCTCTGGTGGTCCTGTGGTTAAAGCATTGGGCTGCTAACCAAAAGGTCAACGGGTTGAACCCACCAGTTGCTCCAGGGAACACATTTGAGGCTGCTTTGGTAAAGATTTACAGCCTTGGAAACCCTATGGGGAGTTCTGCTCTGTCCTATAGGGTCACTATGAGTCAGAATCCAACTGGATAGTAGTGAGTTTGGTTTGGCGTTATGTGTGAAATATATAGACAACAATACATTTGCCATTTCAACAATCTGCAGATTTTTAAAGTGTATTCGCCTCCAGAATTATTTTTTAATTAATTTATTAATAAAACCATTTTCTGAAAAGGGGTATTTTTCTTTACTTTCTTGACACCGGAAAGCACATTGCTAAGGAAAAGCAAAGTGTTTTACAGTGTAACAGCTATTTCTCTTGCTTGTTCACACTGGCAAAATGTAACCAGCACTGATTGCTCAAATTTCAGCGTTTGGTTCCATTTGGCAGCAAGTTTATATTTAAATGTTTAGTTAGTTGCTGAATCTGTGCTTTTCACAAATGCGTGAACAAAGTCAAACTTCAACTTATAAAAAACAATTCTTTTTAGACACAAGCTAAGTATACACGTGTGCTCTTAAAATGCTAAAATCAACAAAAGCTTAGGTATGTAAGAGACACCGTTCACAAGCACACAGCCTGGTCCTCGCGAGTCTATTTTCTTCTCCGAGTCATGTCAGCAACCCCCCCGACAGAATAGTAGAGGCAAGTGACAGACTTGAATGAAGAGACAAGGGACGAGGCAAACCAAGAAAGGAAGAGTTTTGGGGTCGTGGATCCAGGACAGAATTGGAGAAGCTGTTTCTGAACTTCCCAGGAATCTTGGCCTTCGGTTACAAAACCAGGCTCTAGAAGTAGATTCGGGATGCTGAGACTTAGTTTGCCGGCCGGGTTCTAGAGAAGCTGACTGTTTTCGCTTTCCATCAACTTCCCAAAGGCTAAAGGAACGCGGTCACGCCTCAAGCGCTCTTCCCGGATTTTATTGGTTGCCCCAGCCTGCCTCTCTCTCATTAGGTCTCTTTCATTGGCCAGCATTTTCAAGTTTCAGCTGTAACAGACAATTCCAGGAACCAAACATCTCCAAACGCCATCTTCGCCAAGTAAATGACACAGGGTTCAACCAATAAGAAGTGAAAGTGAGGATGCGACTTCGAGGCTCTTCCTCCTTTATATTCACTGTCCAGTAAATGGTAGAAAAGATTGAGCAGCTGATGCTAACTACCAATCCGTAAGGGCGGAAGAGGATGATGAGAGGAGTGATGGGAGGAGGTGACGTGGCCTTGACGGGACCCTAAACTGAAATGAGTGGCGGAAACGAAACCCAATCAGCGATCAAATTGGCCGGGCCCTCCGCAGTCTCCATTTCTCCCTGAGCGCCAGAGCCTTCGGGAAAGCACCAATGAGCTCGTACTGGCGTCTGATTGGCCTTCACCTGAACCAATCAACAGAACGGTTGGCGGACGCGTTCCCACCCTGGCGTCTCACTGGGCGGTGTAGAATGCCAGGGCCGAGAAAAATACCAATGTCCGCTGGGTCTTCCTCAAGTGACACTCGGAGGCTCCAATCGACATCCTCGGTCTCAGAGGCCGAGCCTTCCTCCCCACGGAGGGCCTGGTGGGGCGGGGACGCTGCGCGGCGGCGGCTGATGCGCTAATCGTGTGGGGCGCTCCCGGCGGCGACGGCGGCTCTGGTCGGCGGTTCCGGTCCTGTCTCTCGGGGCGGCGGCGGCTCATGGCGGCGACCGAGCTGAGGGGAGTGGTGGGGCCGGGGCCGGCAGCCATTGCAGCTCCAGGCGGCGGCGGCGCCGGTCCCCCCGTGATGGGAGGTGGCGGCGGCCGCGGAGACTCAGGGCCTGGATCCGGGGTCGCTTCTGGGACGGTGGCCGTGGCGGTGGCGGGTGGCCCGGGCTCCGGGCCCGGAGGAGTGGCGGCGGCTGGCCCGGCTCCTGCACCGCCGGCTGGGGGCTCGGGCGGCTCGGGCACTGGGGGCTCGGGCTCAGCTCGAGAAGGCTGGCTCTTCAAATGGACCAATTATATCAAAGGCTACCAGCGGCGGTGGTTCGTGCTGAGCAACGGGCTCTTGAGCTACTACAGGTAACTGCTTCCGGGGCGCAGCTCCCCAGCTCGCCTCCCCCACCGCAGCCAACAGCCCCGGCCCCGCAGCCAAGGTCGACCCAGGCCCATTTTGTCATTTTCGCGGATCGACAGTCCGCGACACGAGCCCACTATCGCAAAAGTCAGAGCCCCAGAACTTGCTCCTCCACCTGTGTTACCCACCTGGTGTCATACCCTCCCCTCGTCCCCTGGCCTTCCGAGGCAGCAGGTGTTTGGACAGCATCTACTGTCCATTGTGTTGCTACCAGCACGTCGGTGCTCTTACTAATTCTTCAAGGAAGGCACTGTCTGGGTGCTAAAGGGCACAGATAGGAGAACAGAACTCGGGCGCTGCTCCCAAGGAACTTAAGTGAAAGTCCCAAGTTTTAGCTGTCGAGCCCCGTGTCTCAAATTCAAGGTTATTGGTAGCCTTGATGTATCCACCTTTGCTTCCTCCACATTTCAGGCGCAAGAATACCATCAACAGCGTGGCCTCCGTATTCTGTACACTATCTTATCTCTACAAGACTTGGCGTCTGTTTGTGTCTTCCGGACAGTCCAGGCTGGAGATGGGCACGCCAGTGTTGCTTTTCTTTTGCTTGCTTCTCTTCCTCTCATGGGAATGATTAAGTATTCCTTTCTGGAATCTCCCTGGATAGTCAGGATTTAGTTTAGTAAAAGAATCCATGTCTTTGGTACGGTTACTTGGGGTGAGTGTTTATGATCACTCAACAGCCTGGCCAGTTGGTTGAATACAAAGTCTTTTGAGCTACTCATTTTATCATAAAAACCAAAACCAAACCCAGTGCCATTGAGTCGATTCCAACTCATAGTGACCCCCTTTGGGCTTCTGAGGCGGTAAATCTACTTCTGTAAAGTAGATTGCCCAGTCTTCCTTCGCCAGTGGCTGGTGGGTTTGAACTCTTACCTTCTACTTAGCAATCAAATGCCTTAGGCACTACACCAGAGCACCTTCATGTTACTGTAGATAGAAGTTAAGTTACTTGAGGACAGGACACAAACATTCCCTAAGGGCTGGCAGTGTGCTTAGATGTTTCAGGTACATTAACCCGGGTTAGGGATATCAACTTATGGACAGCTCATACTTGCCCTTCAACGTCATGTAAATTTGCCCTCACTTTGCAATGATCGGACCAACCCTACTCACAACAAATTCTTCATCACAGTCATCTTCAGTTGCTGCATGTGTAGCTTTTAAATCACGGAAAAGGCTTTGAGCCTCTTCTTGCACCAAACCAAACCTATTGACTATTGATTCCAACTCAGTAGAACTGCCCTGCATGGTTTCCAAGCCTGGAAATCTTCACAGAAGCCAACTGCTACACCTTTCTCCCCTGGAGCAGCTGCTGGGTTGGAATCACCAACCTGTTGGTTCACAGCTGAGTGCTTTAACTATTGCACCACCAAGGCTTCTCTTGCACTAAACCAAAAAAAAAATAAAAAAAACCAGACTCATTGCTGTTGAGTCACTTTGACTCATAGTGACCCCTCCTTGGGTTTCCAAGGCGGTATCTCTATGGAAGTAGATTGGTGGGTTTGAACCGCTGGCCTTCTGCACTAGAGTAAGGCTGAATAAGAACCGTGTGTGCACCTTCAGACTTACCTACAGATTCAACTTAAAGACATGCTTAAGAACTGATCTCATTCATAACCCAGGTACTGCCTATACAGTGTTTCATTGACTCCCACCATAGCAGTTGGGAGATATTCCCATCTTCCTGCTTAGGAAACTGAGACTTTGGGTAGGTATGTTTCCCAAGGTTCTGGTGGAGTCAGCATTAGAAACCAGTTCTGTTCACACCAACATACCCTAACTCTTCCCCCAGGTTAATGTTGCATGACTCAAATACAGAAATAATTACTTACTTACAGCAAATAAGTTGATAGATCATGGTTAATATGTACACTGTATATAAAAACTATAAAAGTCTTTGAAGGAGACTTCTTAATATAATGACATTTCTCATTGAAATCTTTTTCTAAAGACAATTTATTTAGAAATCTGGGGCTCAGAGCACACGTGTTAAAGGCAGCTGATGGGGATTTCATTCACTAGCAGAGGTGGGGGTGAAGGGATATTTTTTCTCTTAATTCCATTTTATAGATTTGGTTGTGGGGGAAGGTCTTGGAAGGTGAGAGTTGGAGGTGGTTAAAATAGGAACACATACCTGGTTTCTAACTGGAAAATGCCTTCAATGACAGGTGTTCCCTGGGTTACAAACGAGATCCGTTCCTCAGTGTGTTTAAGTTGAATTTATCAGAACACGCACATTCAGTTCTTACCTAGCCTGCCTTTAGTGCAAGAAGGAGCTCTGGTGTGGTTGAAGCATTCAAAAGGGTGGCAATTTGAACCCACCAGCCACTCTCTGGGAGAAGGATGAGGCAGTCTGCTTCCGTAAAGATTTACAGCCTTGGAAACCCTTTGGGGCAATTCTCTGCTGTCCTAAAAGAATCACTGAGTTGGAATTGACTCTAGGGCAGTGGGTTTAGTGTTTTGGCTTAGTGCAAGAAAAGGTTTAAAGCCTGTTTAATGATCCAAAAGCTGCATGTGCAGCAACTGAAGGTGATTGTAATGAAAAAATTGTTGCAAGTAGGGGTTGGTTCAGTCATTTCAAAGTGATGGCAAATTTATATAACATTAAAGGGCAAGTGGGAGTTGTCATTCAGTGGGACGTTGATAACCCGAGACTTACTGTATCCTTAGTGTTTAAGCAACAATAATTGTGAACAGTTGTGTATATAATTTGCATTATTCAGAATTGATTTTAATTATAACCCTTTCTAACTACTCATTCAGAGCTCTGGTAGCATAGTGCCTAAGGCACTTGACTGCTAACCAGAAGGCTCGCAGTTCAAACCCACCAGCCTCTCCTCGGAAGGAAGGTTGGGCATTCCTACTTCCGTAGTGATACTGCCTCGGAAACCCAAGGAGAGGTCGCTATGAGTCGGGGCCGACTCAATGGCAAATAACCACAACAACAACTACTCATTCAGGACTGTCAGGTTAATGTTAGGTCAGAAATTAAAATTTTCAGTTTGCCCCAAAGCCCAACTTTTTCCACTAGTCATGTTTTCTGTTATCGTTGACCATGATTCTAATGTTCAGTTGATTCGTATCCTGACTTGGCCTGTAAATAGCACTGATGCCCCTTTTTCAAAAGTTGTATGTGAGCTGAGGGTCCTAATGTATATGGTCATTTTTCCTGATCCTAGTTCTTGTCCAAGCCAATGGATTTCTTTGATCAGTACCGGTCTTGATCTGTATTGATCTTGGACATTTATATCATACATGTTGTTATCTCTTCAAGTATTTATAACCATGTTTAACTTTGCTCTCAGAAAAGCAAGTGGTACCTGTCTGACTACAGATAAAACTTCCAAAACATACCAAACCACATATTTGGAAATATGCCATAGACCTCTCCTTGCCAGCTAAGATGGTACCACCCACAAACCAATCAAGCAACAGGATCCAGAGTTATCGAATCTATATGCTATCTTCAGAATCACATTGAAGTACTTTCTGCTAACTCTATTAGTGGTTTATTCCTCCCAGGAATGTTTTTCTGGTCCTTGATATCCCTCTTACAGTTATTTAGCCAAATTGTCATTTTCAGGCCTTGAAAACCTACAATCACCTATATATACCCTCTTCAAAATACTGCTTTCATTTTAACAAGATCATATAGTTAAGATCCATCCTCAGACAACCTTTCCTAATAGTCCTTGGCAAACCACTTCCCTCTTTTAGGAGATCCTGCTCTTTCTTACATACCAATTATACAGGTGTCCCTTTACTTTAAATCTTATGTAGAATTCTTGTTTTCTCATCATACGCAACAATGCAGTACACTGCCGTGGAGTCAGATCCGACTCCTAGCGACCCCTCCTTGGGTTTTCGAGACAGTGTCACTATGGAAGTAGATTACCTAATCTTTCTTCTGAGGAGTGGCTGGTGGGTTTGAACCTCCAGCCTTCTGGTTAGCAGTCAAATGCCTTAGGCACTATGCCACCAGAGATGCTATTTCCCATCATAGGCCCGTGATACTAATTTTCCTGGCCTGCTGCTAGATATTGAATTACTATTTTGGCTGGCCTTTTCAGAGAAGAACTGTCTAGCCAGAAAATACCACTGTTAAGGATTGAATTATGTCCCCTTAAAATATGTGTTATAAATCCCAATCTCTATTTCTGTGGTTGTAATCTCATTTGGGAATGGGTTGTCTTTGTTATGTTAATGAGGTGTGATTCACGTAGAGTGTGTCTTGAGTCAATCTTTTTTGTGATATAAAAAAGATTGAACAAGCAAACTAGGAATTAGAGATGGGGGAAGAGAGGTCCCAAACCATATGAAGATCGCCCAGGAACAGACGCTCCAGAGGCAAGGAGCTTGCTTGAGAGCCAGTCGACAGAGAAAGCCTTCCTCTAGAGCCAGCACCCTAAATGTGGACTTGCCACTTCCTAAACTGTGAGAAAGTAGATTTGTTTGTTAAAGTCACCTACTTGTATTTCTGTTGTAGCAGCACTAGATAACTAACACAGAATTAGATTTCTTCCTCCAGAGCCCACAGAGAGAAAGCCTTGCTACAGAGCCAGCACCCTGAGTGCAGACTTCTGGCCTCCTAAACTGAGAGAAAATGAATTTGTTTGTGAAAGTACACATTTGTGGTCTTTCTGTCATAGCAGCACTAGATAACCAAGAATTTGGTACCAAGAGTGGGGTACTGCACCAATACCTAAAATGTGGAAGTGGTTTTTGCATTGGGTAATGTGTAGAGGCTGGAAGAGTTTTGAGGTGTCTAATAGTAAAATCCTAGAGTGCCTTGAAGGGACTGTTGGTAGAATTTATGGGTGTCAAAGGCAGTCCTGGTAAGAACTGAGAAGGAAATGAGGAGAGCTGCAGAGAGAGTCTCAGTGACCTTAGACAATGCATATGGCACCACAATAGAGTGTTGCTAGAAATGTGGGCATTAAATATGCTTCTGGTAAGGCTTTGTAAGGAGGTGATGAGCATGATTAGACAGTGAAGGAAGGGCAGTGCTTTTTATGCCTTAGCAAAGAATGTGTCTGCATTATGTTCAAATGTTTGGTGGAAGACAGAACTTGTAAGTGATGAATTTGAGTATCTGGATGATGAGATTTCTAAGCAAGATCTTAAAGGGGCCACATGGTTCCTCCTTCGCTCATATAGTACAGTGCAAGAGTAAGGAGACAGACTTAAAGATGAACTGTGCAAAATGAAAACAAATTAAAGATTTGGAAAATTCTTTTGTATAAACTAAGGACACTTGTCCTAGAATGTTCATCAGGGATGTGGCTAGACAGTCTTTTGTTAAAGAGATCAACTCTGTGACTGATGGATCTAGCCACCTATCACAGCAGAAAACTCATCAGCTTAGACTTAAGGGGACAGAGAAAGAAAGAAAGGAAAGATGCTGTCTGCCTCTTGGAACTACAGGCAGGAAACAGGACAAAAGAGTGTTTTTCTCCAAGAAAAGAGTAGGACCATCCCTGGAGCAGCTGGGAGGGAGATCAGCGGAACAGTTGGAAGGAGCACGGGAAGGAGGGTCTTCTCGGTTTCAAAAGGTGGGGCCATGGTCTCCTGGATCTGAAATGGTGGTGCCGTATCCTAGGTTTCAGAGTCTGATCTTTGCCAACTTAGTTCCAGAGTCTGGGGCTGCTGTGAAGGTGTGCCAGGGAATGGAGCCACCACCCAAAGCTGAGGAGATGCGGCTGTTATTCGCCAGGAACAGAAGAATGGGCATGCTGGTGCTGAGGGTGTGGGGTTGCCCCTCAGATGGCTAGGAGGATGGAGCCACCTAGAGCAGGGGGAGCAGAGTTACCCTCCCGGAGGGCTTGGAAGGTGGAGCTGAAGCCCAGGACTGAGGGGACTCCACGCAGAAGCCAAAGAGCATGGCTAACACCCAGAGTCTGGAGGGCAGGGCCGTGGCCTAGGTGGTCCCAAAGACCAGAGGATTCCTTTCAAGCCTTGAGAGCTAATGTAAATTGTTCTGCTGGGTTTTGGACATGCTTGGTGCCAGTTATCCGTTCTTGCCATCTAATTTCTCCCATTTGTAATGGAAATGTCTGCCGTGTGATTGTTCCAGCATTGTACTTTGGAAACAGATAACTTGTATTCTAGATTTTAAAGGTTCACAGATGAAGGGGAATCATCCCCCAGGGTGGAATACACCTGAAGTCTCATACATACTTGATTTAGATGATTCGGAAGATGAGATTTTGGATTTGGAGTTGATTTAAGACTTTTGGGATAATGTGATGTGTGAATGTGTTTTGCAAGGACATGAATTTTAGGAGGCCAAAGGGTAGAAAGTTACGGATTGAATTCTGTCCCCCAAAAATATTTGTTGCCAGTCCTACCATATATGCC